GTGTACGGCGGCGGCACGCGGCAGGCCCCGCCACCCTTTTTTCGGCGTGGACTCCATAAAATCCCTCTCGGCCTTCTGGGCGCGGCATGTGTCTCAGGCCGAGACTTTAAATTAGACACTTAAATTTTGCAAATACTAGAATGTGTGCCCACAAAGTTGTAAGCAAGATGGGGAATTTGCTGTGTGAAGTCCCAGGATAGCAGGAAAAGGGCCATACTGCTTAAAATTGTTTTCGCTCGCACTCGTAAACTAAGGGCCCCTAAAGTTCATCTTCCAATCGCTAGTACTTCCACTTTTGTTCTCAAGATTTGACCAAAAATGCCAACTTGTTGTCAAAATCTTAGATCTTTCTCTTACGATTTTTTTCAGCTGCTGTTTTCTTTCCCAGTCTTCAGAAAGTCTGAGTCTGAAGCTGCCTGCGGGGCTTTGGCAAGGGAGCAGAAGGTACGGTAGTCTCTCTTGAGATGTGGGTTTTCTATGATAAACATTTCCTCTCAATGTTTAACGAATAAAGCAGTTACTTCCTGTTTTGTGCTGTATTAAAGTAACTGTACAGTTTTGCCTATCCAGATTGTTTTCATGTTTAGAATAAATTTTTCCCAAGGTGTGTATGGAAACCATGCAAAAAGGCATAGGAAAAGATGCTTGGGTCTTGTTATTTCGAATGCAATTACGCTCATCTGATGATCCAGTAATACTGAAGGATGTTGGAGGTGGTTTCTATTTTCACTCACTTTGCTGTTTATTTTCAGCTGCTTTAAAGCCTGGCAGCATTTTGGGAAAATCATCCCAAATAGTTCATTTGAATTGCAACGGCAGAGTTTTATTAAGAATCTCTTGTTCCGTTTGCAGTGAAATACACTTTATTATTTTTTTTTTAAAGAAACATTCGAACTACCTTATGACACAAAGCAAAACCCTGTAATTTCCCTTTTTTGCTTCAGATTGATGCTGTGCTAAATGGTGTAGACCTACCAGGTCCAATGTATTCCTTCTAAAGTAACAAAAACATGAATCCATTTGAAGAGACAAAATAACTTAATGACAATGAGATGTATCAAACAGTAGGAAAAGACTTCATTATCCCCTGATACATTTGAAGCAATCAAAAAAATCTAAAAGAGGGAGCAGTTTTGCATTGGCTTATGATGGCAAAATAGATAGTTTTAGAAAAAGTCTGTATCAGGCTTCTCTACTTCTCTAGTAATTTTCATGCTAATTTTCTCTAGAAGTTTAGGAATGGAGCATTCAGCCTTCATAAGTAGCTGACTACTTGCTCAGTAAGCTGACTTAACCTGTGAGCCCTGGTTTGTCTCATCTACTCAGTGTGTGTGCTCTTCATGGCAGGGATAGTTACTGTATGTGCATGCAGCCAAGAGGAGGAAGATGTTGGTTCTTCTTGGTGCCTTTATTTTGGGTAGAGCTAACCAGGATTAAAATTAAACGTGTTCTTTCAGAAAAGTACTTTTTTTTTTTTTTTTTTTTGGAACTGGAGCTCATTGTGAGCTGCTGCTGATAGTAAAACAGATGTATGAGGGCCATGGGAGAATCTGAGTGAATATATGGGGAAGTGCTGTGGGGACAGGATTCCTTTACTTTGGAGGGGAGAACTGTTTCCTGACTAGATCCAATGGGTGCTACCTTAATCACCACGGAAGACCAATTTAGGCAGGAGAGCAGATTTAATCAAGTGATTGTACACTCACTCTACAGAAGGTACAAATGAAGATGAGACAAATTATTCAGAGTTAGTGGCAGGGAGTGTGTGGGGTCTGTATCTTGCCCTTTTTCCCCAGCCTTCCATGTTGACCCTGTCAACTGGGTACAAGGTCAGTACCCACCTGAATTCCAACATACCACTTTTCACCACATGGTTCTTAGCTTCTCTAGGAAGCACTTCAGAGCTTCCTCCTGCAGTGCCCTCATGAATAGTCACGCATGGTGAGGTCAAATAACCAAGAGCTGTGCTGACAGCCAGCGATGTTATAGGACCTCAAAAGATCTCTGAAAAAAAAATGAAAGTCCAGGTTACAGGACTAGATTTCTTCTGCTCTCTCTGTTGCTGCTAGCTCAGACTCGGACCCCTCAACCCTCCCAGGATCTGAGCCTTGGAAGCGGCACAGTGACTGGTCCCCAGTCCCTAGATGGCCAGGACAAAATCTAGGACAGACACCAACAGTCTCCCTGCAGCTTTCTCTTCGGAACTGATGCCAACAACAAAACAGAAACCACTATTCAGGTCTCAGTAGGACGACGCTCCTCTCCCCATTCCACCCTCAGCCAGCTATCCCTTCCGGTGGCTCCATGGCGCCACGCCCATTTGCCATCCGGGCCTGTCCGCTGCATTTGGCGTGCGGCAGCGCCCTCTGCTGGCACCTGCCGCCCGGCCGAGCGGTGCCGTGCCCCAGGGGCCGCGGCGCGCTGCAGAGCGAGGAACGAAAACGGAGGCGCGAAGAAAGTGGAAGGCCTGGCAAAAGAGAGGAAGGGGACACCTGCTCTGAAACACTTTGCCCTGTCGGTGTTCTTGTGGTAAGTGTCAATACTGTAACAATGGACTTGGGCAGCTGCCTCACCCCAGGTATGTCGATTTCTACCTCAAATCCAATGTATGTATTGCTCTGAAAGTACCATCCTCTTACTCCACTTCATGTTCTCTGCTTTTCTCTGGTAATCAGTGGCTATGCAACCCTGACATTTATTATAATAATGTTTGTGATTTCCAGGTTTTCTATCCATTAAGAGATTTTTGAGAAAAACTACAAAGGTGATTAATATTTTCATTTCATAGGCTATTATGGAACAAATCAGTATAATTAAGGAAAGAAGGGACTAATAATATTTTTGTCAATATGATTATCAAATTGTGAAGTAAATGTTCAGTTGGTAGACAATTCACAACATTATTTCATGAGCTGCGCTAGTTAGTCATATTTGCTGTGAAGACTGATGTTTTATTTCCATTTTGAACATATCCAGCTTCAAAATCCATGGGTTGTATTGCTTTATATATTAAAGAGCCTTCTATTATCAAAGTGTCCTTTCCCCCATAGGTTCTTACATAGTATATCTTAGATGAAACAAGCATATAGATATATGTAACAGCTTTCTAACCTGGAAATTTCTTTGCAGTTAGATTTACAATTATGCAGATCCTGGGGCAAAGACCATTTGGCTTTGGTTATTTTCTCATTGCAGAGCATGCTGGGAAACTTTTGAAAGAAGTGTTACCCAACTGTAGCACTAGATATTTAGATACTGCTAAACATATGGTATTACTTTTATTTGTAATGACAGATGGATAAGAAACTATCCTTGCTTGAGCAAGTGCTGTTTAATTTCAATTACTAGAAGAAAGCCTGAGTTTTTAATCCCATGAAGATCAACCCTAAACTGACTTCAGAATTAAAACATTTAAAATGTATCCCTACAGGCCTGAATTTTACTATTCTTCTCCCAGGTCTGACCTACTCTTCCTCTGTTTTTCATTGTCTTTCAAATTGTTCTCTGCTAACCCATTGACCTTTGAGAGATTAGGAGGGCACAATATTGTTATTACTTTCTAGTGTTCAACTGTTTCCTGAGTGTTTTACAAGCATGCACCTACAATTATTCCAGTTTTATGCTTTATGAACAGCAAAACTTTCATATGCATGCTTCTTAGCTCTGCAGAGGATTGTTCAGGTTTCCACTTTCTCAGCTCTTTCTATGCATGCTAAGCGCAAATTCCCACTTCAAGGTCCAAAACAGCCCTTCAGAGAAGCATAGCCCAGGGAATGAGGAGGAGCTCCCTTAAAAAAAAAAAATCTTATTTCCTGGCTTAAACATGTAATTTACATGGAACTACAACTGACTTTAAATTCCAAGCAAACAGCCCAGAAACCATAATGGACTCCCATTCTGACAGGGACAATGAAACTTGCATCATACCTTTGGCATCTGTATTGCTGTTTCCATTTCCACTGAGTAATTGCCGGAATGCTAGGCCTGGCAACACTGCCTCTGTCTCAGAATGCAGCTCAGGAATTGCTCCCTGGACTACAAAGGAGGTTAGAAAGGACTGTGTTTCTCCAACTGTCTGAGTAAATAGTCTGCTCCTTTGTTTCCTTCCACACTTTTTAATTTTTTAAAATATATTTACTTGCTTTGCATCAGGAACTTGCATGACAGATCAGTCTGCAAAGCTTATACAAGGCTGTTGACAACCATGGCTGGATCCCTTGACAACTGCACTGGCCTGGTTTTCTCTTTTTAGGAATGTCCAGAATTTGCTGTGCTTCAAATCCTGGGCTATCGCTGAAAGCTGCTTTTCAGAAAAAGCATTGCAAGTCTGTAAAATCACGGAATCCTGTAAACTACTTAATTTCTACAGCAAGCATGATCCAGACATTATTTCTAGCATCTCCCCTTAATGGCCAAAATGGGAATGAGGATAGAAGAAAACCTTTCTTTCTTTTCTGTTCTTTCCCAGTAAGCAGCTCTCAGTCCCAGTTTTGCTTTTTGAGTCCCCTCCCAGCTCTCTGCTAAGCAAATGAGAGGCATTCATCCAATTACCAGTTAATATACTCTCTTTGCAGATTCCTTCTGCTCTTTGGGCCTGATTTCTCTCTACTCAGGTAGATTTCCCATTATGTGAGTTGCACACTTCCACTTTGATTCAGCAGCCTTTCCTACTATGTTAAGTTCCTCTGCAAGGTGCAGATGAATGGTCCTTAATATTTATACAAATGACCATCCCGTGTGTGAGTTCAGTGAACAGGGCATGTCTGCAGAAAGACTGATGATGACATAGTTTGCAGGATCATGTAAATGGTCACAGCATGCACAGCCTCTTAGGCATGATTGCGTGTGTTCCGAAGGAACATTTCCACTAAATTTTCCCTAGCCAAAGGAAGAACAGAAATAAGGTTCCATATCATAGCTGAACTACCTGCTGTCATCTTTAACTTAAAAGAATGCACTCCCCTCCAGAAAATCAAAGGAGACAAACATATATAATAGAAGCTGGAGCTGGCGCGCATGTTTGTGAAGGGCCCCTTTCACACATTTTTGCCATAGCAACATCCAGTTTTCAGAAGTGGAGTGTTTCCT